GAGCTAGTGTAGTGTAGTGTCCTTGGAAACAGGAGTGGACACACACACACACACACACGCGAACTGAACCCATTTTTGGGGTGACTCCTCGCTCCAACAAACGCATATTGTGATGGTGCGTAGTTGGGGAGGCGCTGCATTGCTGCGCCGCCCCCAGCCTCCAGTTTTCCTCAGACAGCTGCAAGCTATAGGGGTTCATACTTCTCAATGGTGTGGTGCTGCTGCTGTGCTGGTGCTGGTGCAGGTGCTGGCTCTGGATCGGCGTTTCGTTTTGCCCGTGCAGGTGCTGGCTCTGGATCGGCGTTTCCTTTTGCCTGTGCTGGTGCCGTGCTGGTGCTGGTGTGGGTGCAGGTGCTGGCGCTGACTCGGCGTTTTCTTGGGGCGTGCTGCGCCGGTGTGGTGCTGGTGCTGGTGCTGGTGCTGCTGCTGCTGCTGCTGCTGCTGGTGCTGCTGGTGCTGCTGCTGCTGCTGGGTCGGCGTTTTGTGCGGGCGTGCAGGTGCAGGTGCTGGTGCTGGCTCCTTCCACGTACCACAAGGCAATACATGCATCAATGTGTCAAGCACCATTGGGGTGGATATCATCCCTGCCCTGACAGATGTCATCCCTGGCATGACAATATGTCACCCTGGCAAGGTGGAACACTATTAGGCATTGGGATTTTTCCCCTTAGGCGCTTTGAGTTTTTTCTGCATACACCCGCTATCTGAGGTCTATGCCAGTGTAATTTCAAACCAAGCCAAATCAACCAAACCAAAGGACTGCACTGCTGAGAACCTCCCTACGTCCCCTCCAACATGTATCCCGCTGACTGTAACAAAACCCGCGGAAAACTTTGCTCCATCAGATATTCTTGCTTGCAGAACTTTGTTGGACACCGGTTTTCCAACAAAGCGGGACAACTAATCCATCATCTCGTCCTTTATCTGGTCTCTTGAGTATGGGTGAACCATCAACAACGCCTTCAGACTCTACATGAGGAGGTGAACTTGCAGATATTCCATTCGTTCCTGGATTGCTTCTTCCACTGCAAAAGAACCCCCGGTGTGCGCTCAAGGATTTAGCCTACACCTCGACGTAGCTCTCATAGAATCCTGGTGCGCCTTGATGCAGACAGAAAGCTTCAAAAACAGATCCAATGTTTCAGGAAAATTCGTTGGTTGGGGGAATGCGCTAGCCGCTAGCCTACAATAGTCACTTTACCATACCTTCTTCTATACTTTGTGTTTACTACAACCATGTCAGAGGCAATGATGCAACCTGCACTGCTCAAGGAACACTGGAAGTCAGTTCTTTGCCGCGGGAACCCATCCGCAGCTAAAAGGATCATGTGGCTCTCACCAGAAGACTCACCAGATTGGCACATGCAATTCTTGTTTAGTTCTGGCAGGTAACCTGCAATCTCCTTTCTGAAGTGTGCAGAGTCCATATCGCCTCTTCGTGCCATACCAGAAGCTTGGGCTCAAGTGCAACACCAAAAGCGGCCAGGAGGGCTCCAACAACAAACAATGGACCCGTCGCCGAAGACCTTTTCTACCTTGTCAATGCACATGACAGCGGATGGGTTCACAGAATTCATGCCATCCTGCCAGAAACCCCTCGTTGGATATCGTGTTTACCACAAACATTGGCTTATTTGCCCTGTACGTCTGAGTTCACCGGTGAGTCTGGAGATCTTGATGCCATGGCGCCGGAGGCGAGTCTTAGCGGTCATACCCGGCGGGCGACTCTAAGACTTGGATAGCATAGCATAGTGGCATAGGTCATGACTTCAACCTGATCGTGCAAACTCCTGCTTTTGTTGGCGGACAGTTTGCACTTGCTCAGAGTCAGTGAAGTTAACTGTGAAGGCAAAGCTTTGGATTTCGGGTTTTCTTTTGGAGGTGAAGCCGCACCCATATCGTGTGTTCGTCTCTGGCCTCTCCAAAACCCATGCTTTGGCCCCAGTTTATGGCGACCGTAGCTCGCAGCACTGTGGACGAAATGCAACATTGGTCGCTCGAGCTGATTCTCTGATTCCTGGTTTCAATACATGTCAGAACAGAACATGTATGTACTTTACTGGATAAATGAATGCTTGACACTGACATGTTTCACTTTATGTGTTGACCAACGATGCATCACATGAGGTGATAACGATCTCAGGGTGCTCAGGTGACCTCTTTCAAGCGCTGAGGTGGAACGCTACGATGGTGGCATTGTAGAAGAGGCCTAAAGGGGCCAAACGAGGTATATGGATGCTCAGAGCTTCTGCGAGCTAAGCAACAGATGCTTTCGAACAATTTTGTGGCTTCAGAAACTGGCACCTGCAATCCATGGCACGCCTCGACAAATAGCAAGGATCTTGTTGAGATCAAGCAGCACCCGCGGCTTCATTTAGTTTCATGCAGCCAAAAAGTGAATTAGTCATCAATAAGGTTCCATAAATCGTCAGGTTCTGGTGAGGAAATTTGGGACCTTTAAACAAACCGGTTTCGACGTGTTTCGGCACCTTCGTTCCAGGATAACTTGGGCTATTTCTTCTACGACAGAGGTTGCCGAGTGGAAGATGTAAGACTCATGGCGGATCCAAGTACAAGTCCTGACCTGAGCTGCCGGGACCAGGACCAGGATTCAATCAGCTCATGCTCACGCAGTGCTCACGCAGTGCTCACACCGTCTGGACGGAGCTGGTCTGGCGGACGCTGAGGCAAGTGCCGAGGTTTCGGCTTCGTGGACTTTGCAGACGAGGCCGTGCATGGAGGGTGTCAGTGATTTTCTCGGGCTCGGAAGAGAGGTGCAGTTCGATCCAGTCTGATGGTGATCTACCACCATTGTGGCCCCATCCTTGCCGTCATGTGATGGGATTGGCATTTACAAGGTGGCAGGTCCTTTCAATAGAAAGCTGCTATGAGATCAATGCAGGCCATGTGTTTGGGTTTGCTTCCCACGCTCGAAACACCTTTGGAAACTGGTTTCGGTTTGTCCGACGCCAGGATTCCTTCCACAAGGCCCTGAGCTTGGCTGGGACGCAGGACCGGTGGATCATGTCCGGTGGGAATGTCAGGTTTCCGATCTCTTTCCGGTGACACCAGCCAGGTGAATTTCCAGCTCATGGGAAGGCAGTGAATTGGCAGTGACACAGTGTTTCTCCAAACTTCAATATTCGAAGCCCACGGGTTAGGGGTTGTAGGTCCGGAAGTAGTGGACATCCTATAGCAAGTTTTTGTGAGACGTTTTTGTGAGACCGTCCTGCCGCACCAGGACCCTCCCAAAGTGAAGCTCGACCACAGTTCTGGTGGCCGCATCAAGGTGGAGGCCAATGGGTGTAGCAAGCTGCCTGAGGCTGACAACTGACAGCTCATTTCTTGATTCTTAACTTGGCCTTTGCAGAACCAATGTTGCTCGCAAAGGCTTGCTGGTTCGTAGGATATGTAAGTGACGCAGGCTTCGGAGCCGCAATGACTCATCTGTTTGAAAGCCAGGCTGCCAAGCCCGCACAGCCAGTGGTGAGGGACAAGCACAAAGAGCTGGCCAAAGCTCGAGTGCGAAGCCCTAGACACCTGTCAGACTGGATCTCCCAATGCCCTTTTTGGCAGTTTCGACTAATTCTGAAGAGTTGCGCTACCTCTTCGGTTCAGATTTGATTTCGTGAGGATCACACTGAAGATATGGAGCGTGCCTTGCGATGGCGTGAGGCTGTGTTTGACAGATGGACCTCCTACAGGGATCAGCAAAGGGCAATCGAAACATTCACTGGACATGCATGTACACAATGATACATTATATATTTATATATAATATTTTGTATGATACAGGGTCCTTTAAGTACGATTTTGTTGCGCAATTTTGACAGCACAGATTACTAAATGTATACATACAATATAATCTCTACAGTATGTTGATACTGATTTATACTCCATGAATCTGACCACTGCATGCACCACGTTTGGCTTTTAGGCGAAGGTGAGGGAACTCTCCATGGAACTGCACAAGCACCGAGAGCGGCAGAAGCTGCTGGAGCGATTGGGATGGTCAAATTGAGAATGCATTTCACTCTTGGACTGTTCTGTGACTCACCATCCTGAAGGTTGCATGATTTTTCGATACTTCCGCAAATGGCCCGGCAGCTTCTCACTGTGGACCTAACCACAGGATGCCCGGCGCACCGTGGAGCAGTGTTTGGCAGAAGAATGCCTCAGGCAAGATGAGATTCACCAGGCGGAGGAGCGAATAGTGGCACCGTGGCACCGTTGGCAACATTCGGAATTTGTCCCCATACAAATAAGTCGCGAATTCCGCTGACCCGAAGAAACATGCAGGGCTTGACTGGCAGGAGTGAACCAAGTTTCATGTGAAAGGGATTCTGACTCTTGCGTAATGCCGCTATTAGGTTGGAGGCCATCGCTACTAGGTTGGAGGCCATTGCTAGTAGGTTGGAGGCCATCGCTAGTAGGTTGGAGACCATTGCTAATGCCAGTCCTAAAGATGACATTCCACGCCGGAGGAGAAGTTGGCCGCTGTAGAGGAGGTCTTGAGAGCCGCGTTGGCCTCCGAACAGGAGGGGAAGCCGAAGCGGTCCGCTGAATTTGGGAAACCACCACGGCAAGTAGACCATCAGGAGGATGCATTCGAACCTTTGAAGAGCACGCTTCCGCGAAGGGAAACCTTTGCGAACGGATCTTCACAGGCTCTTTCTGGGTTCTTCTGGAAATTGTGGCCTCCAAGGATGAACATGGCTCTTTGTCGAGCGCAGGATAGAACCCGGGCACTGGAAGCAATTGCTCACAGTGTGGATGAGAACCAACGCAGGCAAGTGGCGGGAACATGTTTTGGTTTCGGGGACCCCGAACACCCGCTCCTCATTCCTTCTTCAGACTCAGATCTGAACATTCCGCCATTGAGGCCATCTCTAGTAGGTTGGAGGCCATCGCTAGTAGGTTGGTGGGGTCGGCGCCTCTTGTGCAGGTCCGAGGCCCATTTGGAAGAAGTAGGCGGGAGTTGCGAAGGTTTGGTGCTTGCTCTTCGCCTGCTAGCTCAGCACGGGCCCAGGCATTCGAAGGTATACCACACCTTTTTCTATGTTTATGCGCTGTTTTCAAGACACAGAAGGCTCTCCGTTCAGAAGAGTTCTGGCTGAGCAAGCTACGCTACAATATTGCAATAGTTCTTCATACTGGCGTCTTAGATTCTTGAAGACACATCAACAGTCGAGCCTCACGTTTTAGACGCTATACTGGCTCATTCCAAAAGTGAGAATCCACCAAGTTCCACATACAGTAGTTCTATCACGATAAAGATCGGAACACACAACACCACGTAGCATGGAATGATATCCTTGCAGGGACCATTGTTTAGATTTCCAGTGTTTGTCCTACAAACAGCATTTTACAGCAAGGAAGCTGCAAGCGTTGACAGGCCATGAGGAGGCAACTGCAGCTCATGGCCCAGGCAGATTTGGGACATGGGCCATGGGTCTTGTTGGCCCGCGGACTGGAATCTATACCTGTGCCCGGCTAGACCTTTGCAATGCTTTCTTCAAGGCCAACCTGCAGTTTTCAGGGCCAACCTGCACTTTCTTTTAAGTTGCACTTTCTTTAAGTTTCTGCGCACTGCACATAGATATCACACGCCCTGTTGGATAAAGTCCACCATATAAAGACATCTGGCGTAGGTGACAAAAAGAGCGCCTGTGCCTACATAGATATATATGTCACTGGAGTCGTGCTATTCCTCACCACTCCCGGCTTGCAGAGCACTGAGCACAAGTTTCCTAGCTCGTCGAAGGAACTGATCCATACATACAGACACACACACACACACTCTCTGACACTGGTTTTCAGTTAAACGCAGTTGCTCCGATGGGAAAGAAGGTGATGGAACTGCATGGTGGAGAGTCTGAAAGACTTGTAGGTGTTTTAACAAATTGTTGATCAGTCTGCAGAAAGGCGCGGCTGCGAGACGACTCGGCTGAGCTGCAAGACGACGCGGCTGCGAGAAAGGGTTTGGGGGGAGGTATCATGCAAGGACCATGAAAACAAAAGAGTGAGATTGGAACGGCTTGGTCAAAAGTTGAAAACTGGCGCAGGTACACAGATTGGCGTCCCAATCTGCTTCACGGAGTATCCACAGCTGTCTTCGTTGGCAGCAGAACTGTGGACTCCCTGCTGCCCCCTGCCTATGAGGAAAAGTGTTGGAAGACCCTTTGTCCAGGGTTGGACACACACAAGTCGCCGCGTTCGGCGCTTTTTCAAAAACCGGTGGCAGGCGTGATAGTTATGTCCTTTTTGGACATATAGGCTCACGAGGTCAGCCGCAGCAGCTTCAGCGCTGGAGGGTGGAAATGTGTATTTTCGAATGGTGTGGAGTCGTGATTGGAGGCCTGATAGAGCCAAGCGCTGGCTCCCGGCGGTTGTGGAATCCCGGATTTTCCAGGGTTGGGAAGGTTGCGTGTAGGTGATGGTGCTTTGTGGGAGGTCGATGTTGAAACCGAGGAGATGAAAATCCTCCACCGGTTCGAGTTCCACTGGGTCGCCAAAGAAATTGTGGTGGATGAGGGTTTGGATGGCCGGGTGTTGAAGGAAATGTTCGTTGTGGACAATGAAGCGGTTGTCGACATATCGATAGTAAGTAAAGTGGAGGTCTGTGTGTTGAAGGAGGTTGTTGTGGAGCTGATGCCAGGAATGCTCAATGAGGGTGATGGCAACATTGCATAGGGCTGGAGAGAGTTGGGATCCAACTCCGGCCCCTCGGATTTGTTTGTAGGTATTGTTGCAAGCCCGGAAAATGCATGTGTTGAGGGCAAAAGCCACGATGGTGGTAATGTCGGAAGTCTGGATGGTGCGTTGGGTAGGGTGTTTCCGATGGTGTCTGCCAATGTGTGAGTGGTGGAAGGGATTGCCGGTGGCCTGGACATCCACCGTCAGGGTGTGTGTGGGTTGCTGTTGTTGCCAGTGGTGGACGAGGGAGTGAACCGCATCGATGAGTCGGTGCTGTGGGACGGAGTTGAAGAAACCGACCAGGTCATCGTTGGTGGCGTGTAGTGAGATGTCTGGTGGGGTTTGGGTGAGGTAGCTGTGAAAATGGTGCCAAAGCTGGGGAATGGACATTTGGCCGGGATGTTGAGGGTAGAGGTGTTGGAGGATGATGTCAAGGGCACGGCTGGTAATGCGAAGCAGGTTGCCACTGAGTGATTGGAAGTATGAGATAATTGTACGGCCTTTTTGCCAGTGCTTCTTCTCCTTGAGGTGGACAACGCCATAGGGAATGTTGAAGTCTTTTCGGAAGCCCCACTTGTAGCGGGTGCGCAAAATGGGGGGGACAGTGGCGGCCAGGTGGTCGTGGATATTGGCGGCATTGATGTAAGGAAGTGGTTCAAAAAGTTCAGGGGATTGCCATGTATTCAGGACGCCAGTGAAATATTGGCGAGGGCAAAACAGCCTGAGTTGTTGGAGCTCATGGTCGGCATGGTGAAGTAATGTGTGTTGGCCAAGATGTTCTTGGAGTTGGCGAAGCAGGCGAGCCGTAAAACGGGGTTGCTGCTTGAGGTGTGTGTTGTGGAGGCGCCATTGGTGCTCAAGGAAAGGCTGCAAATGTTGAACGAGGGATGGTGGAAGCCCTTGTAGTTTGAGCCATTTAGTGTAGGCCGTTTTGAAAGTGATGAAGTAGCGAGCCTTGCTGGGGTAGTAGGTGCTGTTCATATTGGCGTTGAGAAAAATGCCGAGATGAGTGGGGAGTTGGAGTTGGTCAAGTGTAAGGATGTAGTGGCCGTTGATGGTAGGGGTATCGGGATCCTGCAAAAGGGTGCGAAGATGATCGCATGCGCAGGGGAGGTCTGCTGGATCTGGCGGGGAGTGAAGGGTGTCCTCCCATGTGCGGTGGTTATGCAGGTGGGAACGGAGGGTTTTGTGTGCAGCTTCTCTCAATCTGTGGGAGGGGGGGTGGAGGGGGATGGTGAAGTGCTTGTGTTGCTGAATGGTGGTACGAAGCCATTGCTGGCAGTGTTTGGTGAAATCGTCGTGGGCCAGAAATGGTACTGTCAATGGAATATTTGGTTTTGGGGGTGTGAGGTTGCGGTAGAGGAGGGCTTTGTTGAGGATATGGAGAGCCCTGCTGCGGCCGGGTTCTTCAAGGTTTGCGGCCACACGTCGGATTGCATAGACTTCAAGGTCCGTGTGGCGGCCGCTTCGTAGCTCTTTGGCTGCTTCAAAGGAGGCTGCGGTGTGTTTGGTAAGGTTGCGGAGAAGTTGGAGGGCGTGATGCTTGGTGGAGGTGTAAAGGTGTGGTTCTCTGAGGGTGTACTGGCGTTGCCGAAGGCGTCGAAAGAGTCGTTTGTGGGTTGCTAATCTGGAGTAGAAATGGGCTCTGTGTTTTGTGAACTGCCAGCCCTGAGCTTTGAGCTCGAGGTGGTGGGAGATGAAAGGCCAGTTGAGCGTAGGCATCCAGTTGGCGATGTAGTGGATCCAGGCTTGGTCGTATGTGTCATGGGAGGTAAGTTGAATGGTAGTGTAGTGGTGGATGTTGTTGTGTGAGTGCCAATAACGTAGGGAGAGTTCTGCAGAGATGGGGATGTTGTTCTGGAGTTGCTTGAGTTTGGCACGGCGATTGTGCTCGCGGTGGGGAATGCCAATAGCTGTGGAGCCAACATAGAAGTGGCCATGTTGATGGTAGCAGCGTTGGGGCTGGTCGGAATTGAAGTGGAGCTTGACGTAGACGGAATTTGAGGAGAGGAAGTTGTGGTAGTGGTATGTGTGGGGCAGAATGTGGAGCTGGCGGAGACGGTTGCGCCATTGTTGTGAGCGACGGGTGTTGGAAGGGTATGCGAAAAGGAGTGTGATATGGATAAGGCCGGTTGCAAAGATGGCCTCGGCACGGTCGATGTATTGGGTGCGGTGAATGAGCGTGGAGAGTGCTCGGTGCAAGTGGAAAAGTTGGGTGAGGTTGGTGTGGCTGGGTTGCTGCTGGGCAAGGACGGCGAGTCAGCAACCGATGGCTGCTCCAACACCCACAAGCTGTTGTAGGCTACGAATGGGGAGCCGGTTGACCCGGTTGAGGGGTAGGCCATACCTTGTGGCTGCTTCTTTTAGCTGCTGCGTGGTGACTTTGCTCGTTTGCAGCAAACGAACGACGTCCTTGGCGGCTTCTTGGATGGTGGGGTCGAAGGTAGTGACCCATTGTTGGATCTCTGGGTGGTTCCAGCCTTCGGGGATATCGTCTTGCAGGGTTGGATGTGGTGGTTGCAAGACGTCAGTGAGGGCTGGTGGTTTTGGTGGTGGTGGAGTGGGTGCATGGGATGGGGCGGCCGGTGCGGAAGATCGGCTGGTGCTCTTGACTGGGGTGAGTGGGTTGCCCAGGTAGTGGAGCTTTTGACGTGCGCGAGCCAGTTCGTCGTTGGTGTTTTTGAGGGCGCGTAGAGCAGTGCCTTCCGCAGGTGCTGGAGAGTGAGTTTGCAGTTGGTCGATAAGTAGTTTGATGAGGGGAGCGTGAAACGCTCGGGCGTGGGTGGTTTTGTTGGGATGTCCGTGCTCTGTTGGGTGTGGAGGGTCTCCGCGATGCCGTCAAGGTCAAGGCGCTTTTCACGGAGTTGTTGGAGAAAATGGGTCACGAAAACCGACTCCGCTATGCTTCTGGTGGCAATAAAACCTGTGTACTTGCCGTTGCTCAGTGTGCGGGCGGTGAACTCGGAGGTGCCGTGGTAAGCCAATTGCCACGGGAAAACCTCAAAGGTTGGGAGTCCTGCCACGCCTGCTTTTCGAGACCACTGGGTGGGTTGGATTGTACGATGTAGTTGGTGGCCGTGCAGAGTGTTGGAATCCCAATGTTGCTCGGTTGGGTTCCAAGAGTCTGGAACAGGTGGAGTGGGGGATGGGATGTGTGGTGGTGGTGGGGCAGGCGCTGTGTTGCCACGTGCGGTTGGTGGTGGCGGCGGGCTGTGTTGGAATGTCGATGGTGGTGGAGTGACAGGTTCGGCCGTAGGCAGGGGGGGCGGTGGCGGAGGTGGAAACTCCGGCTGTGAGGTTGGTGCCTGTGGTGGTGGTGTATGCTGCGATGGCGGTGTGTACGGTGGAGTCACATACGGGTTGGAGTGGTGGACGTGGTGTGTACGGAGTGCGTGGGTGAGTGGGCCATAGGTGCCTGTGGGGCTGTAGGTGTGGTGAGTGGTGGTGGGAGGTGAAGGTGTGGTATCCGGGTTGGTAAGCTGCTAATGTTGCTGCATCAAATAATGATTCCAGTAATATTGCTGCCACTGCGCGTCCATGGTGGCTGGGCAAAGTGTCACTGGATCGTGGGGCGAGGAGCACCGATTGTTGATTTGAGCAAGCTAAACATGCGAGATCACGTCTGAGAGTGTCAATTGAGGGAGTAGGCAGTGCCAGTGGAATAAAGTGGCGTTAACACACTTATCCTGTCAAAGACCAAGGTGAAAAAAGAAAAAGAAAAAGAAAAACCGG